CGCCATTGATGTTTCTATCACCACTGATGTTTCTATCTACCTCTCCCTTCCTCTCTGAAATCAATAAAAGTATATTTTTTAAAAATGTGAACCAACACAACAATAACCATCCATGTGTGAATGAATCAATATTATACCTTTTTTGTTGTTCAATCAGCAAAAAAAAAATGTATTTTTTGGTGTGCCAGAGAATTTTACTAATTAGTTTATGTGTGCCATGAGATGAAGAAGGTGGACAATTGCTGCCCTAACGTTTTATCTACAGGCCTATTGCCCCATCTGATGGAACTCCTAGAGGGCAGGAACCATTGCCTCATGGAGTACCTCGAATTTTAAATGCAGGAAAAAACTGAGCATCCAATTTGAAAAATAATGAGCCTGACCGTTGCCTTTCACAGGCCAGAAATCTGTGAGGAACCGGTAATTTTATTTTGAGAAATTAAGTTGAAATTTGGTGTTAAAGAGAAGGGGGAAAGAAAGTTCTGTATACTTTCAAGGACCACAAATTTGTAAAATACAGTTGGAAAGAGTATGTTTTTAGATTTTCTCAGTTTTGCACATAGCGGAGGCTTCTAAGAAGAGTTCTAGAACAAGAAAATGACCAAACTGGCTGGGCTAGCATTTCTCCCCAACCTTCCAACATCCCTAAGGCTCTTAGAGTGTTTGCTGCCTCCCAGGGGAAGGGAACCAGTTCTTCTGAATGAAACTGCACCTGCACAGACGCTGCGGCCCACGGGGGGGGAGAGCAAGCAGCCGCAGTCGAAAGACCTTTTGCATAACCCACTCTTAAAATGACCGAGTCTTGCAGAGTTAAAAATTGAAACTCCAGAGGAAAACCCTAAGCGGTTACATTTTCTCGACAAGGTTTCCCAGGCCTGTCGATCATTTCCTGCTTTCTCTCCCTCCCCGGCGCGTGCACCCAGACAAGCATGGGTGGACCGCGGCCGTGACATTGAGTCTTTCTCCTACCTGGAGTGGAGTAAAGTACCTCCGGAAGCCGCGAGGTTGGCGGTTCATTCATAATAAATGAACTCCAGGGAGGAGGGAGGCAGGGAGAAGAGCCTTTCATCTCGGCTATTTAAAATCCCAGCATTGCAGCTGAAAGGGAAAATGACCTGGGAGTGAACTGCTTCGGGGCTGAAGTATTGCACGATAACGGTACGAGCGAGCGAGCGCGTCAGCAGCCCGCCCGCCGGCTATTTATACCCGGCGGATTGTGCAATCTGGCTCCAGCCATTCATGCCCGGGCCGGGACGCCGCGCGCCGGGTGGGGGAGGGCGCCGTTCCCGGCCGCCGGGTCAGTTACTAAGTTTGCATCATCCCCTTCATTACGAGAGAGCTTGAGTTTCCATTCCGGCCTGCGGGTCTTGGGGGAGACAGCTGGGCTACGAACTCGCTTGGCACACACTGGCACACGGGACTGCGTATTTAAACATCATCATAAAGGCACCAGCGCGCCCAAGGCGCGGCCCGGAGGCGCGCGGGGCAGGGCTCCGGCAGACCGGAAGGAACTGATAAACCGAGCGCTAATGACACCCTCTCCCTCCCCCGTCGGAAGTGTCCTCCCAGCGCCAGTCATTGAGAAATAGCGAAGGGGCAGAATGGGGGTGAGATGAGGACGGGCCCGGGCGCAGCTGCGCGCGCCTCGCCGGGTCGGAGCAGGGGTGCCGCGTCAGGGTGGGGGTCTCGGGGGGTCGGGCACACGCACACCTTCGGGTACAGTAGAGTCCTCTCCAAATCACTCCGCCCCACTCCCCCGCCCCTTCTCGTCCCGGGTTCGCGGCTAAGGGTGAGTGATTTGTCGGATCCCACTCCGCTACCCCCACCCCGGAGATCTACACTCCCGGCCCTACCAGACCCCGATGGGCGAGAACTGGGAGGACGCAGAGAGGAGACGAAGGACTCGAAAGGGAGCAGATTGCCAAGAAGGATAAAATGTCCGCTTCTCCCGACTCCCGAGCGGGGCGGGAGGGGGCGGGGGCCGCGACCGGCTTCCGAGTAAAACAAGACCTGTGGGTCTACTGAGCATGCCCGTCCCGGGGCCACCGAGGGTCGCTCCGGTTCCGCGCTCCGCGTTTTCCGGGCGGCCGGCGGGAAGGCCCCGGGGTGGGGGTGCTGCCCCACCCGGGACTCGGGATTGAGAGGTGGGGGGCGGGGGGTGCGGTTTGCTGGGGGCTCCGCTAGGTTTACGTGAAGTTGTGAGTAGATCAACATTACTTTTGAAGCTGTACTGTCTCACTCTGAGTCGACACACTTGATTTGATCGTCTTCAGAGCTGCCTTGTTCCCCGTTTTGGAGGTTGTGGGGGAGAGACAGGGATATGGGTGTTTAGCTCTTTCAGTAATGTCATTAAATTAAAGTCCTAAATCCGTGATAACCCCTATTCTGGTAACAATCCAGTATACTTTGATAACATCCTGATATTGAGATCAGTAAGTATACCCGAGTTATTCGCCCAATATGCCATTTCTTCTATGGTACAGTTAGTAATTGATGGGGAGGATCAAGAGGTGACCTGTTAGGAACATTTCCATCAAAAGGCCCCTTTTGGGAAATGAACAAAGCAAAAGAAAACTGGAAGGTTTTCTTTAGAGCAGTGGTTCTCAACCTTCCTAATGCCGAGACCCTTTAATACAGTTCCTCATGTTGTGGTGACCCCCAATTTCATTGTTACAAATTGAACATAATTGAAGCATAGTGATTAATCACAAAAACAATATGTAATTATATATTTGTTTTCCGATGGTCTTAGGCGACCCCTGTGAAAGGGTCGTTCGACCCCCAAAGGGGTCGCGACCCACAGGTTGAGAACCACTGCTTTAGAGGAACATGAAGTACCCGGGGTGGAGGGGGTAGCAATATAGTAATACAGCTGCCTAGAAAGAAGAAAGGGTTGCCGTTAATTTCCTACTTGCAGTGTGCTTAACACAGTACCCTCACTGTATAGCCATTTAACCTTCCCCGCAACCCCATTTGTGGGCATTATCCTGACACTACAGACACTGAACCCAAGGCTCAGAGAACCTAAAAACCTGCTGGAGTGTGGCACCAGGGCAACCAACTGGGGACCTGGTGAATTCTGGACCTTGAATGTTTTTCTTAGCTCCTCTGGCTGCTTGGTTAGGGCAGGGCCAGTCATCCAATGCTATTAGCAGGGAGCTGGGTAAACGAGTGGTGATGACACCAATTCTGCTTGGCTACCTACAGAAATGAATAACCACCTCACCTGCCACGTTGTCATTTGGACTTTCTAAAACTGGAGGGTGGAGCCAAAGAGGTGCCCATTGGATGGGTAATTTTGATATGGACAAATGTTTGTGTTCCCAGAAGTCCAGGAATGACTGAGTGGGACCTCTTTCAGCAACTCTAGGAGAAAAGCAACAATGGCCAAAGGTAGTAACTGGATAGACACCTTAGCTTTATGGGGCTTTAGAGACCAATGAGATCTTGCTCTGTTCAGTGCTTTCTCATAGACTCTCAATGGCCTCAAAAGCTGAGAAAGACAACCTTGGCCTTGTTATCTCTGTTTTATGAAGAAACTGAAGAATTGCTAAAAGCTTCATTCAGGGTCTTCAGGCTGCCAGGAGAAAACCAGAACCCAGGTATGCCTTCCATCCGGTGCCCTTTTCACCTCCATACAACATCACTCAGCATCCAAGGTGGTCAAGCCCGATCCATATCCAGAAAGTTCATGGTTGTGATCAGCACTGAGTTAGGGTAAACCACCAATTTTGCCTTGACTCAAGGTGAAACTCTATCTTTGGAGTACTTGTGGCTCTCCAAATGTGTGTGTGTGTGTGTGTGTGTGTGTGTGTGTGTGTGTGTGTACTACATTTAAGGTATGTTTAATCTACTTTAAATTCATTCAGTGGTTGCTATTTAGTTAAAATACCTGTGTAGTCTCTTAGCACATTTGGGAGGATGGAAAAGTCTACTGTGTTTGGAGAGCAGGAAGGTGCGGGGACTGTATCTCTTGCTCCCTAGCAAAATCCCAGAAGGAATACCCAACAGCTGTGCAAATTGTGGGGCCCACTACAGAATAACAATGGGGAGCCCCTAGTTGGTTCAAACACTATAAAGAATGCCAAGCCTCCAACAACAGAGCATAAAACAAGCCAAGGTCCCTGTGCAACTGAACAGGGTGCATGCCCAGCAAGCAAGGCCTGCCCATTGCCCAGGCAGTGCTGTTTTGGAGAGCATGGGCCCACCTAGGCCATGGTCCCAGGACAAGATCGGAAAAATAATTTGAAGATAAAGGGAAGGAAAAGGGGTCCTAGCCGGTTTGGCTCAGTGGATAGAGCGTTGACCTGGGGACTGAAGGGTCCCAGGTTCAATCCCCATCAAGGGCACATGCCCGGGTGGCAGCTGCGGGCTTGATCCCCAGTAGGGGGTGTGCAGGAGGTAGCCAATCAATGATTCTCTCTCATCATTGACGTTTCTTTCTCTCCCTTCCTCTCTGAAATCAATAAAAGTATATATTTTTTAAAAAGGTAAGGAAAAGGGGACTGGAGAAGCTCTTTTCTCTCCATAACTATGGCCTTCAAGAGCCTGGGGCAGGGCCATCCTCCACCAACATGAGAAAGATTTACTGAATAAAAATGTATATTTGGTCTTATCTTTTAACCAAGAAAGCCTGTCATTTCTACTAAAATGTAAACGTTTCTCGGCTGCGTTGGACTTATCTTTTTTTTTTTTTTTTACGTAAAATAATGCCCGTTCCCTTACCAAGACAAAAGAAAAAAAAAAGATCATAAGATTCACGGGAAACTGAAAAGCCTCTGCCATTCAGAACCTTGGCAAAAGCACCTGTGCGCCCTCACCCTCCCACCCCTCCGTGGGGGAGTAGTTGATCGTCAGAGCCCGAGCACCGCTCCGGCCCTACCCAGAGCTCTCTGTCTCCACCCTTCCTCCTCCTCCCCACCCCCCGATTTTCAATCCAGGGGTTTGGTAGGAGGGAGGGAGCTGAACGGGAGCCAGATGTGTACGAGTCCCCCGCTCCCGCCTCCTCCCTCCTCCCGGGCATCTTAAAACCCGGAGTTCAGACGGAGGAGGATCCGGAGTCACAAAGACGCGGTGCAAACAACTCGGCTCCGCGGCTCCCCCGGGAGTGGGAGCCAGAAGGGAGGGGGAGAGAAAGCCGGGCATGCTCAGTAGACGGGACAAAGTTGTGTTTTTTTCTTCTTCTTTTTTTCTCCGCTCTCTCTCATTTTTTTTTTTCGGTCGCAAGTAGGAAGCTTTTTGCACTCCACCACCTCTGGCCGCTGGGAAGACGTCATCGCTTCCGCCCTACTTCCTCCTCCTGTTGGCGGCGGTGAGAATCCAATATGGAGTAAATCGGTAGAGTCGAGAGATGGGGCTCGGACGGGGCGCCCTGCACCGCCTCCCAGGCGCACCTCCCCCGGCCGCCGACCGCTCCCCGGAACCGTGATTGGCCCGCCCCCCCTCCCCCCGGGGGCGACCCCGGACAGAGCCCCCACCCGCGGCCGGCCCCCTTCTCCTCCTCTCACCAGTCTCCGCCGCTCCACGGCGCGCTTGTTTTTTTTTCCTCCTCTCCCTCACCGCCGTCCCCGGCCCAAACCTCTCCCCCTCCGCCCGCTCCCGAGTCCCCGAAGCCCCCGCCCGCCTCGCCCCTCGGCGCCGCGGCGCCCCAGACCTCCCGCAGCCTGCCTTCGCACCGCTTCCCCCCAACCACCCGCGCCCGGTCGTGCAGCTTCCCCTTCTGCCTTCTGCATCTCCAGCCGTCCCCCCTCCCCAGCCAAATCAGGCGATCTCCGGAGATGTGAAGAAGGGGGTGAGCGCACAGGAAGATGAAGGGAGCAAAGCTGCCCGCCGCGGGACAGACGTCTAGGTGAACAGGAAAATGACCGAGGAAACACACCCGGACGAGTAAGTTCGGCCGCGGGGTGGGACGCGTGTGCCCCGTGGGGGCCGTGTGGGGGTCGGGGCGGAGGACGCCGGCGGGCGACGCTCATTGGGTGAACTTGGCGTGGGGTGCAGCGACTCGCTGGCCTGTGGGGTTTGGGACGCGAGATTCCCCCCCTTGTTGATGTGAGGAGGGGGCAAAAACTGCTGTGGGCCGGCGGGGGCGCGCCTGGGGTCGGCTGGCTGGTCGCCGCTGCGGGGGCCAAGGGCGCACTGGTGACCTCAGGGAGGTCCCCCTCCCTCTCCGGGGAGTTACAAACATCCCCCCTCCCCCGAAATCCTCGGCGGCCGGAGCGGAAGACCTGACACCCCCGCTCCGGTTTCCTGGGGTCGGTGGGTTTTTTATTTGGTGACTTTGTGATTCTCCCGCCCGGCTGCTCGCCCTGCGGTCCTTTCCCGAGCCCTCTGGGGCCCAGGCTCCGCCATTTCGTTTTCTTGAATCGCTCTCATTTGCATACCACATTTTCATTCATAAAAAACACGGCCGAGCGAGGGGAGCCCTGGGTGCGGGGGTCTGCGTTGCGCCCGGGTCCTCGCGCTGGCGGGCGGGCTGGAGCCGCCCCCGGGGTCCGGCGGCGCGTGCGGGCGTGTGTGCACGCGCTCGTGTGCCCGGGACCCGCGCTCCGCGCCCCGCGGGGTCCGGTAGCTCGGGGGGCGGATCCGAGGCTTGCGCAGCGGGGGCGGGCGGGATCCTGCGGGGCAGTACGGTGAGGGCCGGTGTGTGTGTGTGTGGGGGGGGGGGGCAGGGAGGGTCTGTGTGTGCGCCCGTGCAACCGAGTGCGTGCCGGGCTCCGCGAGTCCGAGGGTAACAATGCTCCGGGCGCTCCGCCCTAGGGGCTCCCTGCCAGACCCGTCGCCCCCCGGGGACGCATGCAGTTCTCCAGGCCCTGGCCAAGGTGCAGCTCCCTGCAGCCTCTCGGTCGCAGAGTCGGGTTTGATTCTTCCCCAGCCCCGCCGGAGGCCGTTCCAGTTGCGGGTGCAACGCAGGCTAGGCCGCTGGGCCCGGCGCCTGAGGTCGTCGGCCTCGGGTCCGAGCGGTCACCGCACAGCGGCCGCCACTACTCAGCGGCTGTGCCCGCCACCAGCCACTTTTTTTCTTCTTTTATTTTTCCCCCTTTTTTTGTGAATAAGACGTTCTCCTTTATTGTCACATGATAGCCCTCCCCTCCTCCCCTGCACATTCATAAATCCGGAGCCTGCCTCGGCTCCTTTCATTCAGAGCTGCCTGCCATTTAGCCAAGGTAGTGGCGGCGCCGGCTTCGGCGCAAAGACCCTGTTCGAAGCCGCGGAAACTACCCCTAGAGGGAGGCCCCGGGAGTGTCTCTGGGGGCGTGGGGCCTGCGGGTAGACAGCTCCTGGGGCCCCGGTCTTTTGCCTCCTTGAGCATTGAGACTCCGTGCAGAGAGGGGAAGTGACTCAGGGCTTGGGCGAGAAGGCTTCTCTTGCAGCAGGTGACAGAATGCTGTGCTCTACTCTAAGAATCTACTCCTTTTTTAAATGCCCCTTTATCCTTCGGCGTCTGCTGTTGCCAGGCTAGGAGGGAGGGGTGTTGGGAGGGCTAGTCTTGGGGAAAGGGAATTTCCTTTCCTGTGGGTCCCCGGGGAGCGTTGATTGCAGTAACCCCTAGTCTGCCGGACACCCATAGCTGGAGAGGATCCCGCCTGGTGTATATGTTGTGGCCAACCCACTACATCTGCTGGCCCTTCTGTTTTAGACATTTTGCTTGGCCTTCGTAGACTATCTTGAAATGGGAAAGTGAAAGAAAAAAAAAAAGTTGTGTTTCTAGGCTGAAATAATGGAGGGGAGTTATATGCTGCTGGGCCTTAACCCCTTCAGGACTTGGTTAGTAATAGGTATTTGTGTGGGCCCTCCTTTGTCCCTGCACGCGCAAATAGCAATGGTAGCCATGCTCTGGGCTTCGGAATTTCCCAAAGACCGATTCAACCACCCTAGGTTGGGTTCCTTGGCTCCATTCCTTGTGAATCCCGGCCTGGCCTCTCCCTTTTCACGGCAGCATGTTATCTGGTATCCAAAGAAGCAAAAGGACTTCGAGTGGGATCACCAGCAAGAAACTAATATCTCTATTCCAGGCTTTCAGAGCAGTTCAACATGGAGAACTGGCTGCCCCCACTGCTGTCAGAAGCCCAGTTGAGACAATGGCTATTTGAGGACACGTTCTGGTTTCAGAAAATCAGAAAGCTGTGGCCCCTAAGCCCACTGCACAGCTTTTTCAGGATTACTCTTAATGTAATGGCCTTGGCATGAGACGTGGAATGCCCGGTCAGAGAGCAGGCTGCACGTGCCATAAACTGGCATTTGTGGACACTCTACTATATTGTTCCATATTCTTATGTAATGACCCATCTGAAAATTTTCTTTTAAATATTAGTACCAGAAGAAGGTTTCTGTTTGAGTTACAGGGCTTGCTGTGATTGCCTTTTCTTTTTGCTACTACTGTCTGGAAGCTCAGAGCCAAAATTATTGCTTGATCAGGGTAGCCATATTGGCCTAGGTTTCTTGCTAGACTTATTTACTCCTCTATAAATTTTGATCCCCTATTTTCCCTTCTAATGATTTCGTGTTTGAGGTCCCTCAGATACGTTTGGAAATAGGCAAGTTTTGTTACTTAAAAAGAATTGGCGACAATGAACTGGAAACCTAGGGGAGTTATACTTGTGCCTTAGGTAAAATAGATTTTCTTGATAGTCCACATATTTTTCTTAAATGTCTGGTATATTTCACATCAGGATATAATAAATCAGAATCTTAATAACTGGTAAAATCATGCTTAATTAAAAAATAAATGTTTTGTCTCCTAATGTTCTCTTCCACGTCAATTTGAAGCTCCTCTCTGATAAATATATAGTAATTCAGGAAAGCTTGTCTGTTCTATTCACTGATGGTCCTAAAAATTAGCTTTTCTATAAAAACTACATTGACTCTTCTTTGATCCCACCCTCAATTAGACATGCATGTTAAGATTAACAATTCTACACATTTTTTTTTATAATTTAAAAATTAAAGACCATCAACAAAATATGGAAAGTGGTTTTTTATACATAGGAGTAGAAAATTTTTTTTAAGTCATACCATATCTTTAAAGCATTTGATCATGGCTCTATGTGGTTTGGAAATTCGCAGACAAAAAATGAAGAAATCTTCTCAAGTGAGCTATAACCTTGGAGACATCAGGTCTTCATTCAGCTTTTTTATTCTGTTCCTCTTCTGAACACACATCTTGCTGAGAGAATGGATTTGCAGCTTTGCCTGCGGTCATACTCCTAATGTTGAAAGGTTTCTCATTAAAAAAAAAAAAAAAAAAAAAAAAAAAAAAGCTTAATTATTTTTGTGGAACCATTTCAAAATTAGACACCAGAACTCATATTTAAATACTTGAGCTTAGCCCTAGTCAGTTTGACTCAGTGGTTAGTTAGAGTATTGGTCCACAGACTGAAGGGTCCTGGGTTCGATTCTGGTCAAGGGAACGTGTGTGTCTCAGTTGGGGACTTGATCCCCAGCCCTGGTCAGGGTGTTATGTGGGGTTTCCCTCTCTTTCTCTGTCTCTCCCCCTCCTTTCCACTCTCTCTAAAAATCAGTGGAAAAATATCCTTGGGTGAAGAGTAACAAAAAAATAAAAATAAATACTTGAATACTATCAACAATAAAAAATACATTTGAAAAATAAATTAATTAAATACTTGAGCTTACTTCCCAAAAAGGTGAGACTACTCTTGGGTGAAACCACAGTACCATCAGCACACTTAACAAAATTAAGAATAATTCCCTGATGTCTTTAACACTCAGTCTCAATTGTCTGAAAAATGTCTTTTATAACTGGTTATTTCAGCCAGGAGCCAAAGATCCCGTATTAAATGCCACTCGTGAAATATACTTACAGTGCAAAACTCAGCCATTTGCACACTTTCTGATCCCACCTAGGTTTTATCTGAGTGTGAATAAAATAGGAATAAATATTAGTGATCTCATGAAGTTGCTGTGAGAATTAAATGAGATAGTTTATGTAAAATTTACAATCTAGTACCAAGCATAAAACAAGTGTCCAGTGTGACTCTAGGGAGCACTGAGGTAGGAATTTTACAGGCTCAGCTTGCTAATTTTCAAATAACCCTGGGAAGGAGTTGTAGTTACTTGCCTAAGACAGCAGACATTTTTTTTTTTAAGTGTTTGAATAAAAGTCTGTTCGTTAAAAATGGATTTAATTCCTTTTTAAAATGCGGTTTCATCCCTGTCAACTAATGCAATAATTATAATTGTATTCGGTTAACTAAGGGTGTGGAGAAGCCGGCTTTCCTTCTGAGGAACTGCCATGTTTACATGAAGCCCTTGGAGTGGTTTGTGGAAATTGGGTGCAGAACTGTCTGGTGGTGGCGATATGTGATTGACAACTCAAAACCATGTTGATTCCGATCACTGTTATAGGAACTGGGAAGCAGAAGCAATAGAACTGCGAAGTAGAACGCAACAGGCCAGGGCCTGCGTTTCTGCGTCTGCAGGAGAATCTCTGCAGAAATCACAATATTAACAATTTGCAGTAGCCGCAGGGTTCTGATGGCGTCTTCACACTTGAAGTTGGAGACAGCTGTGCTGATGAACTCCAATATTGGCATAGCTCCTATGTTACTGGGCTGAACACAAATACACAATCTAACAGCAAAATCCTCCCAAACCGAACAAGATGATAATAGAGGCAGAGCAGGAAGTGTTGGTGTGTGTGGTTGTTTGTTTTGGCTTATTTTCTCTTAAGTAAATTGGGCTGAGACTTTTTTTTTTTTTTAAAGACCCAGTCATATTGATAAACTTGATGACTCTTCTTGTAAATATTTCTTTTTAATCAATATTTAAAGCTAGGACATTGATGATTTTTTTAAAGGCACCCTCTAGGGCTGTTAGTCGCTGGGAGAAGAAGGACTATTTTGCCCTGGTGGAGCAAATGCATTTTCTTG